CAATGAAAATCCGTATAAAAAACAAACCATTGTCAAGCAAGTTATTTGTTTAGTATGGCTAGTTAAATATTATGAAGAAATTTCATTTAGATTTGAATATATTATCATAATCTTTTAATTATGACCTCCATATATTCTGAAAAATTCATGAAATTAAAACGTTTCTCACTGAAGATTGTTCTTTGATAGAATTGAAGAAGAATAAGAGTTCATTTTCTGTTCTTCGTTTTTACTCTGAAAAGTACTTTTTTTACTAACGAAAAACTTTTCTCTCCTAATGGAAATCAACAGTTCAATGCTGTGATATGAGTTTCAAAGATTTTTCATTATCATTTTCAAATTAAAATCGCGAAAGAGCAGCAACAAAACTCTAGAAGACAAAAAATGATAAAATTCAGTTTAATTTTTCTTTTAAATGTTCACTCCGAATAAAATATTTGCGTATTAGAAAAAAATCTGTCTCAGTGGCAAAGCAAAAGGAACATGATAAGAGAGAAGTAATTCTTAAGTTCATTTCATTATATTTTGGATTAAATTAAAACACTAGATTCAACTTTAACAAAGAAAAAAAGGTACTCCATAGATTCGCTGAGGGAATTAATTATTCTTGATTAGACAATAGGCTAGTGATGTGGCTTGTTTTTACTCAAACATTAGTCTAAGAAAACGAACATTTTATGATATGGTTATATAGAATCTTCAACATATTATTTATTTCTTAATTGATTCATTTTTAAGAGAATCTAAATATATAAACATGTAATACCATTTATTTCAACATATCTTACATTAAAATCTGCTCTTTATTTCTATTCATTGTTCTTAGAATAGTATATAGACTCTGTATGAATCTTGAAAAATAAATTACAACTAATCAATAATGGAATACAGAATTGTATTGAAAATGATTAAAACTAGATAAAATATATAATCGAGTAAATTTGTTTTCGTCAAAAGAATAATTTTCATTACGATAATTAGTACAAAAGTGATGTTAAAAGCTTACATAAAATTACATCTAGATCAACAGGACAATAGTTTTAACATATTTAAAAAAGAAAAATACTGTTTCTATTATGGTTCCATCTACGTTAGAAATTATAACTGATAACTACCAAAACTAGGCAATTCAAGAATGTTGAACTTTGATTGCACTGGTTAAAAATGCGATTAAACTCAACTATTATCGATTATATTTTACTTTAAAACAGTTTTTCCTATGTAATTGTAGTTCTCAACATTAGAACAATATTGAAATTATCTTTTAATTGTTCGAAGTAAATTAATTCCGTTTTCTAAATCGCACTACATGGAATCACCTAGAAAAACTTACAATAAACTTTGACTAAAACAGTTATGAAAATCTTTTTTAAAGAGATTTATAGACATGAAAATACAATCGGATAGAGCAAAATTCTCTACCTGTTTTAATTTTAAAATATTTTTTTCTTCTATGATTTAAAATTAGAAAACGTTATTAGTAGTACAATATAATAAAATAACAATTTCTTGTCTAATTACTCCTTAGTACATTACGAATATATAATAAAATATAACAAAAATCATTTCTATTTGAAATAAAATATTTAGTTAAAAAAACATCGATTAGACTACTTCAATACACTTACTTGGTTTTAAAATATTGATTGGTCTATATTGAGAAGTAAAAAATTATAATATTTTTTTAGAATGTAAAATTGAATACAAATAACAAAGCAAGACATTAGCAATATATACAAATGTTGATGTGTTTATAAATAGCTTACTCATAAATACTTTTCTATATCAACAGCATGGAACAATACACTAACTGAAAAAAACAAATAATGGAGAGAAAACTGACTTGTTGATAATTAACGATTTACTGATTCACAAAACAAACAAACATGATGAGAAAGACTGATCAATGTTAAAATAAGCAAATACACATACATGGGGTAATTTCAGATCAAAAATTTGAAAATTTACTTTGCTTTTGTTCGTTTTTGTATAATGAAAAAAAACCATTCAATAGTTCAACATGTGCCTTCTATGAGATCTGAACATATCTCAATGAACGGCCATCGCATAGAAAAGCGAAAAGGAAAATTATTTTTGTGAATCAGTTCAAGTCAACAAATGATGTGATAATTTTTTTATTGACTATGAAAAATACGGCTGTTAAGGGATATAAGTATGGATATCTGTGAAGTAAATACTAACACTCGCACACAACTTTCTTTTAGCATCTATCTATTAAAGAGAAATAGAACTTAACATTAATCATATTAATTTGGCATCATATGTTGTTATTGTGAGATTGTAGCAAGTCTAATATGATAATACTTTTTTCTAAGAGTCGTTGTAGTAAGATTTAGTCTAAGGCTTCAGAAAAATAAGTTTTTCCTAGAGTTTTTTATAAGATTCTATCTGATCTATAAGAATCTTACTGTTGCTCTTTGACCAGGAATAATAATTTGTAAAAATACCTATGCATTAGTCGATATTCAATACTCGTTTCTTATGACAAAATGAAACATAAATATTTCGGATAAAACACTTCATTTATAAATTATCTTTTCTTTATGTAAGTCTAATAAAATTTTATGAAAAGAATATTTTATTTCTCACCTAAAACAGTCACGATAAGAAAAAAAAATTATTAAATTAATTCACAAGAAAATATTCGAAACACGTATGTAATTCAATTTTTTATGGTCAATATGGCATATTTGCATAATTTCTATAAATTTTTTGTTATCCTTTTTTTTCCTTGTTATCATTTTGTGCATCTTTTTATATTGATATCAATAAGTATGATTGACTTTAATGATCAAGATGATAGACAGCTTCTTGTCAAGATATTTTTTGATAAAACTTCTTGAATTTCTACAACATTTAGTAATTCAGAATATTTTCGAAATATCTGAAAACAATAAAAAATAAAATAAACATTGATTAATATACATGTTACTTTTGGAGATGATTTCATGACTTCATTTGGATCTATACGATTGAACTTAAACATTTCTCTTTCTCGTTCTAATCAAACAATATGTTCATTGATGTTTTTTGTTGGAATAAATCTACCTTGTCATTTTGTTCAATAACCTCTAGACTTTTCTGCCTTACATGTTTTTGAACGTAATCTTTAAATCCATCAAATTCTTTTCGAAATACATCTTCTATGTTGTATTTTTCTTTGTCTTTAAGCATTTTTTACTAAAATTAATTTATCTATCTTCGAAATGTCGAGTGTTACTCTACAAAAATCGATTTTAATATGCTATAGTATATTGTGTCAAATGACACTATAACTCTTTTTTCATTGGTTAAGTCATCTCACTAGTGACTAATATTAGAATGCGTGAGTTTACTCAAAACTTGACCTTTTTTTAAGAGTTAAAAAATTGAAGCATAAAAATAGCAATTAATTAAACAGTAAATTATATGTTAACGACCGGGTTTCGATCAGTTCGAAAGACATGAGATTGAATCCTATAATAGTCAATTGACGATTTTGACTAGAACAGAAAACATCCTTTCTGTTATAATAGTATCTAGAAGTCGATCGAAATGAATCCAATAAAAACCTATGTACATCTGACCATTTTTTTTACGAACAACAATCGTTTTTCGGAGTCATCTGGCATCAGCATTAGTTTTTTACTGATAAACATCATCAGTTGGATTGAATCGTATTGAAGAAAAAAAACTCCTAATCAACTTAGTTTGATACTTATTTGCGAAGATAAGTTTCTAACAAGAAAGTTGAAGAAAAACAAATATTTTTGTAAGATACATGTTAATTACTTCAAAATAAAGATAATAAAAAGTTATTACGTAAAAATTCAAATCGTTTCTGACTTCTTGATTCAGACATCTGAGATGTGTGAGAAAGCTGGCTAGAGTTAAGCTCAATAAGACTTTATTATGAAGCAGAAAATGTACAATAATATTCCATCAATAATTATAAGCGCTTTTTCAGTTTAATGTCATTTGAACGAAAACGTTTGGTTTAACTTTTTGGTTTCTCGAAATGATGAGGACGTTGTCGCCGACTATTGAAAAATATAAAAAATAAATTTTTATTTTCAATCTTTTTTTAAACAGACTATGAGTTTTTGTTCGTTGTTGTCTGATTTTCGTTGTTGTGCAATTCTGATTGATCAATGGTTGTTGAGCATGCTTTATTTTTGTTTGAAGATTCATCACGATCTTCCATGACTTTAGCTTGATACCCACCAGTGTTTCCTTCTAAATGAATTATAAAAATCTACTATTTATACCAGTCTTCATTATCTATTTACGATTATCTTTTTTTCTGACTTCATTCAAGTTTCTTTTCTTTGAATATGATATATTAACTTGAAGACGTGTATTCCATTGTGGAACATATTTACCTGAATATAAAAATAAATATATCTAAATCCATTATAGATTTTAACAATACTACATACCATTATATTCCACAACGGCAGCAGCTGCTGATTCCTTGTTAATGAAAACTATTTTTGCATTACATAGACCGTTTTTTTTGTTTAGATTTTTAAAAATAAATATTTCTGTCTTTTTAGTGTTTGCATTGTACTAGAAAAATGTTAAACTATGAAATAAAAAGCGAAAATATTTTTTGATCAATATTTGAGTAATACGATTGATCTTCAAATGTGTTTATATATCAGGTTAAATTGTGTTCAACTAATTTTATACATTAAATTATTTGTATCAAGTAGAAAAAATACAAATAACTGTCATTTTGACAATATCTTTGCATAAAAACAAAGAATACAATGATTATCATCAAGAAAAAAAACAAAACGATGATAATCTCCTGTTTTTTCTTGAGCATCAGTTCCAATAATGAGTAAAACTAGATTTATGCTTAATGCAACATTTAATGAGGTTTACATGCATTCTATTCATCTATTGCATAGGATATATTTCATATTAATTGCAAATATCTAAACTATTCATACATATATATATATATATATATATATGTGTGTGTGTGAAAATGCTCAGTGTACCTTGATACGTCCAATTTTTGAAAATAAATCAAATAAATCATTAAATTTTATGGTAGCGGGTAAATTTCTTATGAATATGGTGTCTTCTTCTTTCAGATTTGAATCACCAATTGAGAATTCCGAGACGGATGACACATCACTTTCATCATTGGATTCATTTGTTGCTGCTAAAACCATACCAATCGTAAATAAAGAAAGTTTGTTTTAAAAAATAGCAAAAAAAATATTCACTTACTTGGTTGTAACTGATGCACCTGTTGCATTAGTTTTTTTATTTCATCATCGTGTTTTTGAACTTGATCGATCAGTTGTCGATTTTGAGCAATCAATAAAGATAATACTGGTCGCAAAGGTTCAAAAACACATGTTGAGATATGACTTTGTAATTCAACACGTGGCCCTTTCCAAGGACATTTAATATCAGCAGCTTGACATGAAACTGTTGATTTTGGACAAATCTTGTTGACATGATCCACAAAGTTTCCACGTTGTAGACCAGTTTGTGCACACAATGTGCACTGAACACGAATTTGATCAAGCATATTTCGCAAAGGACGGCTGGCTTGTGTAAGTTCATTTATTGATATGGGCATTTTAAGGCAGATTGGACATGAACTCTTGTCGTTTTGATTAAACCATTGTGTGATACATTCGCGACCATATGTATGATCGCATGGTGTGCAAACTGGATCTTTAAGAGCTTTATGACAAATGCTGCATATTAAATTTGGATCTATGGACTGTTCGTCCATGTATTCCATAAATTCAAAATTGCAACTATTCGTCATCACTAATATGAAGAAGATATCTATAAATAATAAGTATTCATTATTTAAAGAATATAGTTAATAGTTACATGCAATAAGAATTAAATCATTTATATTTTACTTTGGAAAAGTTACGATGTTATTTTTAGAAGTTACCACAGATTTAAAAAAAGACAACGGCTGTGAATTACAATAGATACTTTGAAATATTTTTTCAAATATATTTGTAGTCATGTAGTAATTTGAATTGATATTTCGTCGTTCTATGTCAGTAAGATTTTAAATATGATTGAGTAAATAACTATTGTGCTAATGAGAAAAATGAATACGAAAAATTAAAATTACTGCATAACTTTAAATATTCTTGAAAAATAACTTTCAAAATCTCTAATCTAAAAAACTTTTATTGCTTTTCCCAAATCTATTCTAACAACTGAAAATAAAACATAATCCTTTTTCGAAGGTAAAATATAATTAATTGTTGAACTAAGACTGAATTTTGTAATAAAAAGCAATACCAATCCAATAAATAGAAAATAAATGAAAACCACGGAAATGACCATAGTTCAGTTGTATATATTTCAATCTCTCGAAACTCAAATGCATCAAACGACTGTGGATGAAGGTGCTTACTTTTCTAATTGCTTAGACTTGACATTGCCGAGTAAAATTTAATATGATATTGTGCTATGTTCGAATAGAGCCCTTTAGCTCGCATAAGATAAAGTATGTTTCAAATTAAGAGATAACATTTCACAGAAAATATCAAAGATATCATCGTTTTCCAATGATCAAACCTGGTCATGCAATTGCCATTCAACTGATACTAACACCACATCTACTAAGTTGACGCCTTTGTTCACAAATAAGACATGATATCGTTCTCTCCATTTTCAGAAAACAAAACAAAAAAGAATGACAAAAAATAATATTTACGATTAGTTGAGACGATCGAATAATCTACAGGTGCGTGCATAATCTTTTGCTAGGACGGTAGCACTATGATTTTAACTTGAATATCTAGTGAATTTTATACCAAGTTAGAATGCGTCGAAAACTTTATTGATTCGTACTAAATAGCAAGAGTTTTTCAAAACCTTTTAATATTGAACTTATGGAATTTTCAAAAAATTTGATGCATTTTTGGCATAAAAAATTAAAGCGCTAGTAATTCAAATATAGAATAAAATATTTTTTTTTGATATTTTTACATGGTTCGATAGAATTCGTCTAGTTCTACAAAACTATTTATATTAAAAATATCTACGCCATTTTTATGAGACAAAAAAATTTTTAAAAATTCTTTTACTTTGATATTAAAGAAAAATACTCGATTTTTTCAATAAAATTAGCTTTTTGTTTTTACTATGTTTACTGAAAAAGACGTTTCAATATACACTCATCACGTGCAGCCTGCCATATTGGTTCTAATGAGTGTGTCCGAAACATCTTTGTCAGTAAACATAATCAAAAACAAAAATTATTTATTGAAAAAATCGAGTGTTTTTCTTCCATATAAAAAAAAAGAATTTTAAAATATTTCTAGAATTTTGCAAGAAATTTTTTATCTGATGAAAATGGTTTGAATTTTTTTAATATAACCATCTTTGTAAAGCTCGACGAGCTCTATTGAACCATGTAGAAATATCAAAAAAAAATGTTTTACTCTATGTTTGAATTACAGGCGCCTTAATTTTCTATGCTAAAAACGCATCAAACGTTTTGAAAATTCCGTAAATTCGACATTAAAAGGTTTCATAACTCTTATTATTAAGAATCAATCAATAGAGTTTTCGACGTGTTTTAATTTGATATGACACTCACTAGATATTCAACTTGAAGTCATAGTGTTACTGCTCTGACAAAAGATTATGCACAACCCTGTAAATAAAAATGAACATGATTATACAATGACACTTATCCTTTCATTGTGATGATCAGATGACTTCAATGAAGAGAGAAAAATATCTTTTTGAATAATATTTACCACGTATTGAAATGTTGAAATGAACAAAAGAGAGCAAAAAAAAAGAAAAATATTTTTATAAACTTATGCTTACCGTTCATTAATACTAAGTTGTATGTGTAGTTCTAGCTATTTCAGTATTTATTTCTATTGCAGCTTCACCACACATACTTAACCATAATAATCATAACAATGATTATGAACAAAAGAAAAAAGTAACAAAACCTATAGATATATTATTATATAGTCCAATGAGAATGAAATATATAAGTTTATATGTAGAGGATGAGAAATGAAAAAGAAAAAAAAAGAAAGAGACAGAGTGCGTTATCGAAGAAGATGACGTGCATGATCTTTTGTGATAACACAGATCACTACAAATGAGATATTAAAATGACTTAAATAAAAAAAAAAACGTATTTTTCTAAATTAGAAAAGTATGAGCTCATACGTAAGTTATCAGTTGAAGAGATTCTTTCGTCAGAGCAAATCATCAAGATTCTTTTTGCAGGTAATACTAGTTTCCATGCAGTTCTCATGTAAAAATAAAATAGACATTAATGAAGAAAATTTCATCAATTTTCGTTAAAGTATTTTTTATAGTGGTTGTATTTTTAACGATCATCAACTCATTATATGACGTTTTATATTGCATTCTTTTTCGCAGGTAGAGCTTCTCAAATTTTTCTTTTTGAATTATACATTACATTTATAAGCGCTTAGAACTTATTCATATTTCTCTGGTGTTTACTCTTTAAATTTATTTCGATTTGCTTCGTGTGACAGAGTAGATCAGTATAAAAATAAAAATAGTGAACTGTTTTTTGAGATAATTTTTAGGTAAAAAAAATCTATGTGAAACTAACACAACACGATCAGTCAGCACGACCCCTTCAATACTATGGCTCGTGAAAATGAGTATCTATCGCAGGATCATACGTTAAACAACACCATTATGAAGGAGAAACTCATGGATATGGAGTAGTGTCACATATCCAAGATTTTGGAGATGCCACCACATCTCCCACGGGGGATGCCGCGTCTCCCGCTGGAGACGCGGCACCCACACTCGAAAGATGTGGTCATTCACCACTGGAGATGTAAGATCTCCTTTAGAGATGCGCATTCCCCACACCTACACTCGCATCTCTCGCGCGAGATGCGGCATCTCCCGCGAGAGACGTAGTGGCATCTCCAAAATCTTGGATATGTGACACTGCTGGATTTATGAGAGGTCTCTTCATGCATATATGTTACTTGAAAAGAAAGAGCACTGGTTGAATGCAAGTGATAATTGATAATACATTCGTATTCGTAAGTAATATTACAGAAACAAAATTAATGCAAAAAAAGATGACCTTGTCATGGGTCCAAGGGGGAAACAGCGGACTTCAAGACTTCAAGACTTCAAAAGACTTCAANGCGATGATCAAAGACTTACACCCAGATCAAGGAAAATTAGTTTATCGCAGTTTTAGAAAGTATGGTTTGGATCAATAGTTCGAAGCATGAATGTTTTCGGTGTCAAAATCGCTAAGATTTTTAAAAAATTCTTCCAAAAAGTAGTTTTCTTTGAAAATATGATATAAGATTGATCGTTTTTTAAATGTGAAAAAGCCTTCTGACTGAAAGATTTGTCTTGCACTATAAATCGAGAGAAGCTACCAGTAGTTAAGCTAAAAAGTGTGAATGCTTCTCTAATGTTAATAGGCCGGAACTCCTCTTCCACCCCTTCGCCCCTTTCACTTCTTCCATTGCACATTTCGATATGAGTTTCTCAAGCTTTTAATGCTTTCTTCATAGGATAATATACATTGAACCGTATTCGATACACATAAGAAACACTGTACGAGATATATTACTACTTTAAACACATACTATCTCAGGAAAAATATGCACGCGATTCTCCCAGAGTTTCGAAGGTCGGACTATCTGCTGGTCTTTGTCAATCTCTCGAAATATAACTGGGGAGAGGGGGGAGGGGGCTGAGCCCCCTCTACAGCTTTTTTCTGGTTACGCCCTTAATCAGATGTTTGTTTCAATAGATTTTCTATCGAATATTTTGATTGATCCAAAAAACTGAATGTTTCAAATAATTCATTATCAAGTTCAATTTGGTCTTCGATTGACAAATATAAATTATCTAAGTCATTATAAATATCGATGAATTTTGTATGTTCAAAAACGAACTCTTTGCTTTGATTTTTGTCAAAATCAAAGATGAAGATCGCACCAAATTGTGGAAACATATTGATCTGAGACAGTATTTGAGAAGCATCAGAACTAAATATTATCAAGAAGACTTTCTCTTTGTCAACCGACTTCAGATAATTTATGCAAGACTCGATTTCATTGTAACATAGAACATAATCATTTATTTCACGTAATCGTTCATTGATGTTTACCGAATCATTGAGAGAATTAAGCCACACAATAGTAATACTTTCTTTATTTTCTTTTCTATCCATCATTTTTGATTGACGTTGTAATTATAAATTGAAAAATGACACCGACAAATAATTTAGAGTTATCTAAATAAAGTTTACTAGCTTGATTATCACTAATACTTTTATATTGAAATTCAGACATTTCAATAAATGCTTTTTTTATTGCAGCAAGGATACGAAAAACATTTCATGAAGTACTAATATACGATATTATTCTCCATTTTCTATTAATATTGCTAAAAAAACATCTTTATCAGCTCGTTCTATAGATCTGAATTTATTGTTACAATGAGAATATCGATGAAGAATTACTGTACAGGATCATTATGGTGTACTTTAGCGGAAAAAAACGATTTCTTTAGAAGTTCATTTACATTGCCTGTCGTACTCGCTTTTTCTCATTACCTAATTCCTGTATAGTTATCTAGGATAGTTATCATTTCCTTACTTCTGCTAAGTGTTGGTTAAAGCATAGTGCACATGAAAAAGTAAAAGGTGAAACTCATACTTAACCGATATTCCTTTAAACTAATATTATCAGATCTATTTCATAGATTGTTCCATAAATTATTATTCGCTAG